CTTTACCGTAGCCTTGTTGGAGGTTTACAATATCTTACCATTACCCGTCCTGACTTGGCCCTAGCTGTTAATCAGGCCTGCCAGCACATGCATCTTCCCACCAATGCTGATTTTCAGGCTGTTAAACGCCTCTTGAGATATGTGAAGGGCACTCTTAATCATGGTCTTCATTTTACTTCTGGCCCCTTTTCTCTTCATGCTTTTTCAGATTCAAACTGGGCTGGTGACCCTATTGATCGTCGCTCTACTTCAGGATACTGTGTCTATTTGGGTCCTAACTTGATATCTTGGAGTGCTAAGAAACAATCTATTGTTTCTAGATCTTCAACTGAGGCGGAGTATAGGGCTTTGGCTAATGCCACTGCCGAACTCACATGGTTGCACCAACTTCTCACAGATATGCACATCCCTGTTCCTTCTATTCCTGAGCTCTGGTGTGATAATCTATCAGCTATGGCCTTGGCTACGAATCCTGTTTTTCACTCTCGGTCTAAGCATATCGAAATTGATTGTCACTTTATTCGTGATAAAGTTGCTGCCAAGCACATTAATTTACAGTATGTGCCTACCACAGATCAGGTGGCTGACATTTTCACCAAACCTCTTCCTACCTCACGATTTCAGTATTTGAAAGACAAGCTTCTTGTGCTTCATTGCCCCATCAGCTTGCAGGGGGCTGATAAGCTTTCATCTGTAACTGACTCTGCATTTCCAACTGACTCTGCATTTCCACAGATCCCTCAGTCCAAGTATCATCAGTCACAGCAAAGCACCAGTCACAGCAGTAGCTCACCTGCCTCAGACTCAGCATTGATATGTTGTCTATCACAGTCCTGTATTGATAACAGTCCTCATTATAATCTCTGTAACAGTTGTAAAGTTTGTTAGTTTGTTAAGTAGTTAGAAGTGTTTGTTAGTGAATTAGTTAGTTAGTGTTAGTTCGTTATAAATATATAATCTCTACCGTAATGTAATTGTTGAGTGCAGAAAGTAATGAAATAAATTTTCATCTTTCACAAAAACACACATTTCACAAAAGAGGATAGTTTCATAATTCCACCATTACATATAACAGTGCACTCACCAAAAAATAATAGTACAAATAATGCAAGATGACAAAATAATTTAGATGACTTTTAATTTATGTTTATGAAAAAAGCTGAGTAATGTGAAGGGGTGGTTTAATGAACTATTTTGGAAAGATAGTTAAAAGTTATCTTTAAATTTTTAACTTATTTTGAGTTATATCATCTTTTACATTTTTTACACGATTTTTAAAAAAAAGTCAACTTTTAACTATATTTCCAAAACAATCCTTAAATAAACCTTTGTATATTAAAAACTTTTAAGATTTATTAATATATTGTCCTATTATTAATATGTGGCCCAAAAACTTTTAAGATTTATTAATATATTGTCCTATTATTAATATGTGGCCCAAAAACTTTTAAGATTTATTAATATATTGTCCTATTATTAATATGTGGCCCAAAAACTTTTAAGATTTATTAATATATTGTCCTATTATTAATATGTGGCCCAAAAACTTTTAAGATTTATTAATATATTGTCCTATTATTAATATGTGGCCCAAAAACTTTTAAGATTTATTAATATATTGTCCTATTATTAATATGTGGCCCAAAAACTTTTAAGATTTATTAATATATTGTCCTATTATTAATATGTGGCCCAAAAACTTTTAAGATTTATTAATATATTGTCCTATTATTAATATGTGGCCCAAAAACTTTTAAGATTTATTAATATGCATAAGTGTCCAAGAAAATAGTGTAAATAAAGAAAATGGACTTTATGGAATAAAACTATACATACATGGGACTAAATGGGTTAAAAAATCCCTTCATGAATTTCTTGGATTAAAACACTTTTAAATTGGATTTATCAATAAAAATCCCAAAAAAAAAAAACAAAAAGATGTTTAGTATATTTATGTGTTAAAAAGTTACTTTGAAAATAAAGTAAAATAAATAGCAGGCAAAAAATGATGGCTGAAAGTAATTTTAAATAATTAGAGATAGTAATAGGAGGTGATTGTCCACCGTCACAAAGTAATTGTTGCCAATAGATGCTGACTAAAGATGATTTTTTAGTTACTGTGAAATTTTTGTGGAAACCCTCCATTGAGGAAATGATTGTAAGTTATTATATGTGAATTATTGAAAAGTGTCTTCCCACAAAAATAATGACAATTGTTGTTTTTAAGTTTGTTTGGGTTGTCCTTCGATTTGATTAATCCATTCTAGAAAGGAAAAATTAAATAAATTATAATTATTTTTTTTCTTTCTCATTTGACATGCAATAATAAAATTTAAATATTTCGTCCTCAAAAAAATAAATAAATAAATAAAATTAAAATTTGAAACAAAACCTATAAAAACTTGTGCGCCATTACTCTTCCAGATAACTGGACTTAGAACACCATCTACTATGGGATTCATGGAGCCCAATACAAGGAGCCCCATAATAACTAATCAAGCCATAGAATTCGAGAACTTGAATTATATGCGTCCGTTACACATTAAATTAAAAATTAAAATGTAAAAAAAAAAACTGTGCCTCTGTATTAATGGCAAAAACAAATGTTTTTACATAATTTTTTAGACATAGACTTCGTTTAGAAAGTGGGTTAATTTTTTGATTTTTTAAGTTTCGTTTGGGAATAAGTTATTTTAATAATTTTTTGATTAAAATATGAAGTAAAAAAGATTAGTATGTTTAGAATGACTTTTTAATTTTTTACGAAAAGATATGTAAAAAAAAAAAAAGAAAAAAAAGAATCTTTAACTTATTGATATTGGTTATAGACTTTTTAATTTTTTTAATAATTTTTTGACTTTTAAGCTAAAACAGCTACATGCCAAATAAGGCCTTAGTTTAGGTTAAAAAACCTTGTTTGGGTTAGGTTTTTTGATTTTTTTGACTTTTGTAAAAAAAAATAAAATTATAGTTTGTATGTGACATTTTGACTTGTTGTGAAAAGTTGATTAAAAGCTGACTTTTTGATTTTTTTTTTTTAAAAACGTGAAAAAAATAGAGAGATAATGCCACTCAAAATAGGTTAAAAGTAAAAAAGTAACTCTTTTGGGAAGAGCTAAAAAAGTCAAAAATCAGTTTTTAACTAATGTTAGGTTACATCTTCTTACATTTTTTTTTTAATTTTATGTTTAAAAAAAAAAACTAAAAAACCTACTTTTAACCATCTTTTCCAAATAAGTCTTTTTACAATCTTCTTAAAAAAAAAAAAAAAAAACCTTTATCTTATTAATTTTTTAATTTATTTTTTTCTTTTTATGATTATTTTTACCTTTTAACCTCCCAGCATTGCATAAGTCAATTTTTTGATTGTTTATTTATTGGAAAGTAAAGCCAGTAGACTTCCAATTCCAATAAACTTGGCTTTAATTGAAACAATTCACCTACGTACCACTAATTCATAAAGGCAACATTCCACTCCTTTTCTTTCTTTTTTTGTTCCAAAAAAAAAAAAAAAATTAGAAATATAGTTAAGATTGAGGGACTACTTATTACAACTTTTAAAAGTGATTATAACTTATTTTAATTTGAGAGTCTATATCAGACTATTTGATACAACTTTTACTTATAGTTTATTAAATAGAAATAACTTACATAAGTTGAAAAAAAAAATTATTTAAAAACTGAAATAAATATACTTTTAACAATTTTTCACTGAAAAAAAAATTCCACCAAACAGGACCTGTGTTTGTATCTATTATGTCCTCAACCATCCACAAAATCCAGTTTGTGCTTATCCCTTTGCACAATGAAATCATGTTATGATGGATATGCCTAGAGAGAGAAGAAGAGTTTTTGTCCCTCAATCTAGTTTTGGGACCCTGGCAATCCCAGGTGTTCCCACCAAAGCCAAAGATGTTCCCTCGTCCAAATATGGGTTCCACCCCCAACACAAAATTATTATAAAAAAAATAATAATAATAATAATAATAATAATAAGAAAGAAAAAAAGAAACCCAATTCCACCACTGCACCTGAACCAAATCTCTCTATCAAAAGTCGATATTTTTCCTCATAAATTATCATTGATGGAGCTGATATTTTTGACATGCTATACACATGGCAACAACACAAAAAAATGCAAGAAATATCTTAACTTCTTGATTATCACATCTGAGTCAGTAACAGTCACTATCTTCTATACTTATGTTTCTCCCAGCCTCAAAAATCTCATTCCATGATTTTGAATTATTTTGAAACAAGGAGACAAATATGAAAACAGATAAGCCTTAGCCTCAATAATGAGTTCGGAGAAAAGGCAAGAGATTAAAAAAAAAACAAACAAACTAGAAAGGGATACTCAATAACAATGCTACAAATGCACACACTTTTTACACATAAGACTCACTCCAAGTCTTGTGAATATATTAATATTTTGTTTATTTGTAAAAGCATTGATGTCCCTAACATTTTCGCTTTATATACAGGAATTATTAATTGGTACAAGGACAGCAAGGCAAGGAACACAGAAAGGCGTAACAAGCACACAAAGGGGCTCTGATTGGTACATATAAACTAAAAACACTCATTCCCTTGGTTTTCAACAATAAGCTTTTTTTTTTAGTTTATATAGCTTTTCGCAAAACTGCACCACCCGTTTTGACATAGATTTCCAAAATTAAAAAAAGGAAAAGCTCTAACAGCCCATAAACAGGGTCAAGATCTGAAATTGTGATGCAATTCCTGATCATACTTTATCAGACACAAGTCAATATTCACAAAATTTCTCAGCCATAGAATGTGCTGTTATTGACTTACCTCTAAACATATTTCCATGGGTTAACAGAGAATGCACCCTGCAGAGAGATGTCGTGACAGAATATTTTGGCAAAAACCCTTCTCAATATGTCAAAAAAGGTAAAATATGCCAAGAACGCTTGTGTTATTATGCTATTGCACAACAATTGAATCAGATGAATCAATATTTTCAAGGATAGAAAGTATTTATAACATTATCACAAAATATATGAATTGATAAGAGAATAAGCAAAAAGCAAATCATTCACTAGAAAACAAAGCATCAAATAATACATTACAATTTCTTTTTCCCCTTCCAAAGCCTTAGAATTGATATTCACAAAGTTAGAGATCCAACTTTCTTGCCAAGCTTGAGTCTAAGAAAGATAAACAAACAAAGTTCCTTACCAACACTCTTATTCTTTTCACCCAAGGACATCGGAAAAGTACGGAGTAACATTTTTTTCAGAAGAGCCACGGCGGTTCTTTTGCCATCATCCCATGGCATACTTCTGCGTCCAGCTGCGAGCAGTGGCCTCATATTTAGCCCTATCAGTCTTGTACATGTGAGCTATTTCTGGCACAAGAGGATCATCAGGGTTTGGGTCTGTCAGCAGAGAACAGATGGACAGCAGGACCTGACAAAAAAATGTTAATCGCATTTTAAAACTGAACTCCCAAAACTTTATAGATGTTACTCACAATTTTAAGAAATTAAGATTAAGATTGCATTGAAGCCAAATCCATTAAATCTCTATGGGAGAATTTTAGGTTACGTTTGGTAGAGTTTTAGAATTATAATTTGAGAATAGAGTCGTATTTGTGAGTTTTGGAATTATGATTTGAGTGTGAAAAATTCGTTTTGTTATGAGTTTTGAAAAAAGTTTTGAATTGAATGATGTGACATATGATATTTGATTAAAAAATTTACAACTCATAACCAAACACACAACCCAAAATTCTATTCAAAACTCATAAAAAAAAATTAAAAAATTCCAAAAATATTTTTTATTTAAAATATAAAAATAAAAAGTGCAAAAAAAATAAATAAAAAACAAACAAAAAAAACCTGAACACTGTTCCGAACGTTCGGATGGATGACCAGGTAGACATGTTTTGAAAAATGGGTGTGGAATCAATTTTTGAAAACTGTAAACAAGCACCGTATTGAAACCTAAGGGTGGAATCATACTTTGAGAGTCTAACCAAACACAGCCTTAGTTTTTCTTCATATCAAACTCTAGAGAATTTGTTATTGCAATTTTATGTTGCTTCCACTTACACTCGATGAACACTCCTTTCACTTCCCTCTCACATATATACACATCAACAACAAAAGTAGTACATTCATTAGTCAATGCATTTATCTATCAAACTTATAATTACTATAATGCAAATTGAGAGCATGGCATTCTTCATTAACAATCGCCATAGCAAGCTATGTTACATGGAATCTTCCAAATATATTAAGTAAATATGTCGAACACTAAACACTTCGGTAAAAGTATGAGTTGAGTCCAACATGTGTAATGGGCCATCATGTAGAAATGCTCCATGTTACATGGATTCTTCCAAATAAAATAAGAGTATATTAGCACCATTAACTTACCTACACCCGAAATCTGCACTCTAGTATGTGTAGCAAAGGTAGCAGACAATAAAATTTAGAAACTCATGCCAATCATTAGTGGTGAATATCTGACACGGTGGTGACAGGTATAAGCCACATGGATGTGGAACCATGTACCTAAAAGGTTAAAGGGCATTCAGTATCTCATTACATAAATTGGGTAGTATAGGATCCTGCTAGTGTTTCTCATCTTTTTCTTATTTGGCAAACTGGGGTGATGATTTGACCTTGGAAGTGAATGGCATCCCACCACCAAGTAATGTGTTGTCATTTCCATTGTCTAGTAATATGGTGTAATTTAGTTGGGATGCAGTATTTGTTCAAAATAAATTTTCTTCTTTCAACAGAGTCCATATAATGAATTACAAATATATAAGATTAGTAGCCAAAAAGTTGATAATACACTTAAAAATAAAAGTTTTTTCAATGAAAGTGTTATTCATTCCACTGAAAGATTGAAAACTAGGACAGCCTTTATTCTAGGAACTATCTTTTTCTATTCCTAGAACCTTCATATCCCCTATTACCTTCTTCCACTCTTCGGTATTTTAGCCGCAGGGCAAACATCAAGACAGTGCATGAAATCCCCACAAATAGATTAAAAAAACACTCAAATCAGGCTCCTTGAAGGAGAGCGTCAACATTATGCAGATAATTCTCAACTTTCACCAATTAATAGCAGCAATTGTCTTGTGAAGCCAATAAAAAGAAAAGGTTTGACACTATATTTCCTCTTAGACACCTGAATATTATGACGGGTTTTCCACCATCGTTTTGGGAGCCATGGTCCCAGGCTCCCCCAACCCAATATGGTCCTCCATTACATTAGCTCTTTAGCAATATCATAATAAATCACTCACATCTACCTCCTTTCTTTTCTTTTGTGCTTTTCTTATTTCCTTCACTTGAAACAAAGTCAATACAGGATTCTTCATTTGCTTATATATATAAAAAAAAAAATATTAAAAGAATAAAAAATTCCACATTTCCACTATGCAGACTTTTATGTGTTTGCTTTTTATTCATTCCTTGTTATTCGTAAGTTTAAAAAGGTTTACTCAAGTATATTATTAACTTTGTTCTTTGTATAATGAGATTAAGCATCATGGGGATTATACTTCATAAACTAATTAGGGACAATTTAAAAAAAAAAAAAAAAACCATGGTTTGAGCCTTTTAACAAAATAAACTATGAGTTTTCAATTTTGTCAATTTAAACCCTAATATTTTAATTTGTTTTCAATCTAAACCATTCATCAATTTTCGTTAAGTAAAACCAATCAAAAAGGAGTATTTTAGTCATTAAACTCAATAACTGCACATCCCTTCAAATTTGATACTTCTAACACACAATGTTATTGTTCTAATATTTTTTTGTTCTCACCCAAAATGTACTCAATGTTACACGTATTTCATTCAGTATACTATGCTGGAAAGTCCCACAATCCTCAGTAAATAGCAAAATAACCACAAAAAAGTGACAACTCAAAAGTCGTCATTATCTGACAAAAGTTACGATAGTTAATCGACATCATTTAAATATTACATCAAATATCAGCAAACTTATTGCTCATTTAAAATTTCAATTTACAACAATTTATTCCCCCACACCTACTCCCTAAGTAATCTAATCTGTCCACCTAAGTAGACAAATGCCTCTCTAACTCACCAATTGATGAGTTGAGGCCGAAATCAGGTCAAATCCTTGAATTCAATTGGTCAAATTTATGGATTATTAACCAATTTACTTTTGATGAATTATTTTTTGCAACGTGTGCAACTCATGAGTAATGAGGCATACCCTACCATCCTTTACAACCCTAGCAACTAGCATATGCTCTTGCAAAATCCAGCCATAAATGTCGAAAAGTTGTAAGCTAGAAGACTCAATTTCACCCACATGATGAAAGCTAATGACTGCCCTTTATTGTAATTATAATTGAATTTTTTATATATTCATACTACATCTATATTATATGCAGCAGATGTAGTTAATTTACATAAAATAAATGCATGAAGTACTTAAAAACCACATAAACAATTGTATATACCTGTATATTTATAGACCTGCATATAGAGATGTACACAATCTGGGAATTTTCCCACTCTCAAGATGTTTTCACAATGAAGTCATGCTCTCACTCCACATTCCACAAATGAATTATTACGTCTATTATTAGAATCGTACGATTCAATTTGATTCAATGAGTAATCAATACAAACAGGTTGTGTGAATCACAAATAGCTATGAATTGGTGAACTGAATCGGTGAATTGTGAATCACTAAAATCGATATTTGGCATTCTTTTTTGCTTTTTTATTGTTGAAAAATGGTTCACAAAACATTTTAAAGGTTTTTAGGATTACTATATCCTATCTTTTGACTTTCTTTCTATTTACTCTCAAATACTCAAACTTTAGCCCAAAAAAATGAACTTTCTCTCTCTACAATATTCTAAATCTGAATTCGAATCGTGAATCAAAATGATATCGTACCAAATCGCGAATCAAATCGAATCGTGAATCGTAAAAATTCGGTCACCTTTTTTAAATTATATAGAAAAATATATCTACACACTTAGATATTAAATATATCTAATAAATATGAAATATTTAGAAATTGTTTGGGATGTGCTATATAAGTGCACTTTTTGACTTTTTGGCTAAAAAAGTAGAGGAAAAAAAAATGTATGTTTGGGATACTTTTTGACTATTTATGAAAAGATGTGTAATAAAATATTGTAATAAAATCAAGGAAAATGTTTGGGACCCCCACAAAAGAGGACCCCCACAAAAGAGGACCCCCATGAACCCCCACTGATGTATTGACCATTGATGTGTTTGAAATTTTTTTGGGAGTTGTGTCTGATAGTGACATGAATGGTTCAGATCATTTTGGGGGTTGTGTTTTGTGGGGGTCTCTATCATTGTAAAATCAAAATGACCATTCTACCATTGTTGACTTTTTGACTTTTGGATAGTTGAATATTTTGCCCTCTAAGCTTCCCCCACAAGAATCCCCCAAATAGTATGGACTTTTTGACTTTTTTAATAATTTTTTGATTTTTTAACTTTTGTAGGTTATGCCAAACCAAACCCTAAACTTAAATCAATGAAAATATTGTTTTAAATAATGTTTACGTGGTCTAGATAAGAAGTTAACACGGGTTCCCATATTTACTACTTCACATTTTTCCTTTTAGATACTATTCCTTATCAACCATTCTTAATAAAGAAAGCAAATAAAGACAAACTTTTAATTTTCAAGTAACAATAACTCAACAACAATATTTTTTAACTTTTTACAAGGTTAAAAAACCAAAATCTTTAATTTTTTTCTAAAATCTCACTTGATGCCTTCAAAAAATTCATTTTGTAAATGCAAGTACTTAGATAAAATTGAATATGTAAGCCTAGAATATTGTAGAGGTAGAAAGTTCATTTTTTTTCCGCTAAGATTTCAGTATTTGAGAGTGAATAGGAAGAGTAAATAGAGAGGAAGAAAGTCAAAAGATGACATATAGTAATCTTAAAGACCTTCAAAAGGTTGTGTGAACCATTTTCCAACAATAAAAAAAAAAAGAAAAAAAAAAGCCAAACATTGATTTTAACAACTCATGATTCACCGATTCATAACTATTTGCGATTTACACAACTTGTTCATATTGATTACGCACTAAATTGAATCGAATCGTACGATTCTAATAACAGAGGTGAGTATAGTGGTCCAACAAGGTAATAGTGACTTCAACAGAGACAGTAAAGCAGGCAGCTTGGTCAGCTACTGATAGTGGTGAAACTCTACTTTTGTACTTCATTTTCGTATTCGATTTCCCTTCCTTTAAATATATCATTTTTCTTTCTAGTCAATATTTCTTTTATTGTCTGACTTGAAATATCATCCCAAGATCCAAACTCAGCCCTAGATCCCTTGAAGGACCTTAACAGAAGACACCTTGGGAAAGTTAACCTAAAATAATAAAATAAAAACCACTTTCTCCCCAGTATAGTCCCCCTCCAAGATTACAGAAGACAAACAGCCGTATCAGCCTGAACATACTAAGAAGCATGACCCAAAGATCTCTAGCCAGCATACACCGAATAGAAAGGCGATAAACCAATTCCTCATTTTGCATATACATACAACACCAACTAACATGAATCTGTTGCCTCCTAATCAAATTATCAATGGTGACGACTTCACCATGAGCCACTATCCACACACACACACACACACACAAAAAAAAAAACTTACACAGCGCTGTTTCACAGCTGAAACCTTTCAAGAAAGAAAAAAGAATCAGTACAACCCACCAAGGCTAATACTTTCGTCAATGACATGTTAGTATGACATTAGACCTGTGAACAAATATACGTTGTATTCACACAAGTCATGTGCTAACATCAAACCTCAACTCTAGGCATGCTGTTATTTCAACCTATAATTTACAATCACACACTGGCTAACAAAGTTCATGTTATTCATGATACAACAAAATTATGAAGGCAGAACATACGTGAAGATTGATTCAAAATAAGGGAAAGGTGATAGATCAAACCTTTGATATGGTTAATGCTGGACTCCATTGTTCTTTCAGAATGTCGAGACAAATGCTTCCATTGCTATTAATGTTTGGGTGGAAGACCTTAGTCCTGAATGCTACCTGCATTATTAACTCAGTCCGCCTTCTCAGATCTCGAGAGCATTTCAAATTGATAGATCCTCTTCTGTTTTTTTGGTTTTTTCTGATAAGTAAATAAATGTATGATCATAACTACTTAATAATAGCATTTTACGACCCATGGTACCATACATACTCCACACAAAGGAATACCACATCTCATAGGGTTTCTTTTTGCATTGGCACTCAAAGTTAGAGTCTTTCTATTGTCACAAAACTGATATCATCTTTTGTTCCTATTTCACTACTGGAAGCAATACGTTAGGCTTCTAGCAAATGACAAACTCGATGGCCAAAATGTTGAAAATCATAAATAAATAAAAAAGGCGACAATTTTAATTTCAAAACTTTTGTGCCTAGTAGGTATTATCACTACAACATTGGCTACTTGATCTGTTGCTTCTTAACCAATAGTAACGGACGAGGTATTTTCCATTAGCAAAACCAAGATGACAGAGTGTAATCTAATTAAAGTCATGAAAGAGTGAAGTCATCAATAATAAAAATAAAATTTTAAAAACAAAAACCTACACCATATAATAAAAATTCTACCTTTGGGGGCTTGAAAGGATAATCAGGAGGAAAATGGATAGAAACCAGAAAAACGCCTCCTGCATAAGGGCTATCGGTAGGTCCCATAATTGTTGCTTGCCAATGAAACATATCTTCGGCAACAGGACCTGTATTAGGGGGGGAAAAAAAGGTCAATACACTAGCATAATTCATAAATTACCTTCTAAATCGATTGAATAATTAACAAAACATAACCAAAATCAACAGAGAGAAAACATACCAGCACTGCATGATGTAGGAGGGTCCTTCTGCAAATCCTTGAGCTCCTTCAAAATTCGTTTCGATGCCATCAACACAACAACACACACCTAAGACTTCAAATCAAAGGCGTGACCTATATAACTCACTGAAATACCCACACAAGTAGCAGATCGTGAATAAATTACCTTCTCAAAGACCTAATTGCCCCCACACAAACACACCGACAACAATCAATCCGATCACTACCAGAAACCCTAACTCCAAAATTGAAGATCCGGGAATTTCTTCACGGAACAATTGACCTAAACTTCATACATATATATATATATCCAAACAAAATCACAAATCTATATCTGTATATATATATACGTATGCAGACTTGGATAGAGAAGAGAGTACCTGGATGGGGGGAGAAAGGGGAGGGACTTCGAAGCGAATGATTGAAATGAGAGAGAGAGAGAGAGAGAGAGAACCAATCCTGAGGAAGCAAGTAATATAATTGACAGCCCGAAGGCTGCTTCTAGAATTTTCGTCAAAGTTGCGTACAATTAACGGCAATCAAACTTTATTCGTTGCCCCGCCCCGACACTACCTGTTCGGGCCAAGTTCGGGTCTTTCTTAGGGTCTGTTTGGCAATAGCAATTTTTAATTTTTTTATTTTATTTTTTTAAATCCTTATAGTCGGAACTCCCCCTCGTTTATAAAGTATAACCTTTCCTCGATCCTTTAAAAAAGAATGCACTCAAAATAAGAAAAAATAATAAAATATAATTTTTTTTTTTGAAGTTTTGATATATAAATTGGGCTGCGATTTAGGTACAACCTAAATAAATTATTTATTGACTTTTTTATCAGATTATTTATCTATTTTTTATATATATTTTCGTAATAAGTTAAAAAATCAAAAAATAAGTTATACTCAAACCACTTCGAGAGTGTTTATGTGAGTTAGGGATGACAATCTGAAACAGACTTGACAGGGATCCCTGATCCCGATTCCGATTTAAGCGATTTTTCTCTGAAAAATACCCCCGACGAGGAGAAGACGGTATTTGAAAATCAATCTCCGATCTGTTTTGGGGATGAGGACGGTGATCATTGTTTAAACCTCGACCCCATCCTCGAATTTCCCCGACGTAAAATTACTTTTATACCTCGTGTATTATATTTATATATCTATTTAGCTGTATTATATTTTTTATTAGTGTATGCCCGTGCCTAAAGGTACGGTGTAAATAATATTGAGATTAAAATGTAGTTGTAATTTGGTAATTTGTACGTATCATATTAAAATTTGTAGAGTTTGTAGCACCTGATAAAAGTTCAAGTCAGCACTCCTACCATTAGTTTGTGGCTAACACCTAATACATTGGTGAGTGTCATAGTACCCCGAACCACAAATATCTGATTGAAATAATATAATACACAGAACATAAATACCATAACCTCGCAAATAGTAGTTTTTAGAAATTGTTTACAAATTAAGATATGGAAATCTAATATTTTGAAATAATTTTCCAATCAAGATCCGGAAAGCATTGAAAACTAAATGCATCATATCATGAAGAAAAAATCAACTCTATGCCATAGCATCCCAACAGTAAATGGTAAAAAAAATAATTCCTGCAACTCATCTGGTTTGTCAAATTAATGTGAAAATCATCAATTATATTAACTATAGAATACAAATTGTTGCTTTACAAAATAGTCAAATTAAGAAGATTTTAAAGTCATCTAATAGCCATCAAGTATTGCTACTATCAATACTTGAAAGAAAATGTATAGTAAGAAGAGTAAATTGAATAAGAAAAATTATAAATAGGTGATAACTTTACAAAATATTTAAAAACTCATTTATTTGTAATTTTCTCAATAAAATAAGAAGATGAGTAAAGAGAGCTCATATAACAGTTTGGTGCAAATCTCCATCATCCTATGAAAATAAAAGAGAACATAATTTTATACAAAAAGGGGAAAAAAATGTATACAAAGTAGTGACAATTGACATGTCCAAAGTAGTGACAACTTACATGTCCAAAGTAATAAATCAACTTACATGTCCAAAGTAATAACTCAATTGTAAAAGATCAAGTTAGCACTCTTAAATCAAACTTAGCTATACTGGAAATGCAAAAACATAGGAGAATAAAAGGCTTCACAAAAATATTTGAAATGCAACAAAGTCCACATAGGTGGAAAGCTTTACAAAAAGTGGGTCATAGTTATTGTCTGCTTTACAAAATGTATATACTTTACAAAAATATGTGTTTGATAATGTCTTTAAATTTGTTCTTTCCCACAATTCTTATGAACGCCTCATCAATTTCCGAAAGGTCTTCATAACAAAACTTCAGGGTAAACAATATTTGTAGTGGAATCTAGCTCATCATTGGGGAGAAGGATACTTATACGATCGAAAGATGTGCATCTGGATAATGCCACGTATAGTTGCCCATCACTAAAAACAGGTGTACACAAATCAATCCCAACAAATTTCACAGATTGTCCTTGAGATTTGTTAATGGTCAAAGCGTATGCCAATGGAACTGGAAATTGACGTCTTGTCATTCGGAAAGGCATTTCTGCAGAAGACGGAGTCAATGATATCCTTGGTATAAATGCCAAATTGCCAAACTTCTTTCCAGTTAAGATTCGAGCTTCAATTATGCGAGTGTCGCACCTTGATACCGTCAATCTTGTGCTATTACATAGTTCATCTTTTGGTGCAATGTTTCTTAATAACATTATAGGACAACCCACTTTCAACTCTACCTTAAAAGCAGGTAGCCCAGGAGGATCCAATGAATTTAAAAACTCATCAGGATATCTGTTTGTAATAGAAGGATCAGTTTCATCATCTTCAGCCATCTTATCTGCAGCAAGATACGTATATGTATTCCCTGGAAAAATATTCAACGCAGCAATATTGATAACACTGACATCATCATTTCGTGTAGAAAGAATTGTACGTTTCGTTAAGAATGATGGGGTTGATGTATTTGCCACATCCAATTGTAGATAAACTGCTGAGAGTAATTCCTTTAGATCTTGGCATTTGTGTATTGTTGATGGAATTTTAATGATTTCTTGCGGATTGGTTCCAACCTAATAAATAAAATAAAATAAAATTTAAAAAATTGTGTAATCAAAGTATCCTTAAATGGTATAATCAAAGTTCGAATGAGTATTACCTCCGTCAAGAATTTTGCAAAAATAGCATTTCCAAGGTTTGCATGATTCAAGCGCATATTCAAATCTAAAGATAAAACATGTAGATCGTTCCACAAAACAGACTGTCTCAATGATGCATTCACAATTTGCTCACGAACTCCTTTGATTATAACTGGTAAGATTTGTCGAAAGTCTCCACCAAGAACAACAGTGATACCCCAAATGGCTTTTCATACTCACAAATATCTCGAAGTGTGCGATCAACCGCCTCAACACAATGTCTATGTTGCATAGGAACTTTATCCCAAATTATAAGTTTTGTTTCTCTAAACAATTCAGCCTGTAATGATTGCTTGCTAAACCCACAAACTGAATTTTCCAAGACATCCAATGGAATAAAAAATGTTGAATGTGCAGTGCGACCTCTTACTAATAGCAATGATGTAATTCCAGATGAAGCCACGGTAACAACAATATGGCCAAGGCTGTGACATTTTAATGCAATTGTATTGTACAAAAATGTTTTCCCCGTTTCGGCACCGCCATTCAAAAAGAAAATAGTCCCTTTACTTTCAAAGACTGAAGAAGTAATTGCGTTATAAACAGTTCGTTGTCCATTATTGAGGTGATCAATAGTAATTTGCACATCTGTCTGTTGTGCCTCATTATGTAGTTGTTGATGTTCGAATATCAATCGGTTACCAACTGTTGCACTCCAATTTGCTGTAGGTTGTGGCATGGGCGGGAAGTCAATTAAACTCTTTCCTGATTCTTGAAGCATTTGATTCAAAAGATACAAACCATAATCTTCAATTTGAGCCTTAGTTGGGTTAGAAATGGCAAACAATGTATGAAGTTTATGTGCAAGATCATCACAGATATGCATTGAAAATTGATTCCATAACGCATGTGGTTGTAGTGGAAAACATTGGGTCAGAATAACACAAAACAATCTCCTCAATTGATATCCGATTTTCATAACTGTAGCCTCTTTCAGGCATTGTATCCATTCTTCATCATCTTTTAAGAGTCCTCTTGCAACAAGTGTTGATTTAAATGTCTCATGGAAAACATTGTTAACTGTACGTAAACATTGAAACGATCTTGCTCATTTGACAACAGTTAACAACAAACGCAGATAAAATCTTTCACCACAGTTAGGGCTAGCAAAGTACATTCTACCAATTGTATATCCATGTTCTCTTGGTTTCCATCTATGTTCTAACTTGAGCCAAACAAAATGTTGCGAAAATTCTTGGTAAATGAATTAGCATTCATTTTCATTGGAAGCACAATAATCAAAAAAACCAGTAAGAGTCGATTTTTGTTGCATAGCTCTAGAAAGAATCATTTCCAATGAGTCATTAGGATTGAAAAAAACACGATGCATTCCAGGTAGATGAAGTGCCAAGCGAACAACTGTTGGCATCTTTGCATGCAAATGATGACCGAATATTCTCCAAGCAGCTTCTGGTTGTCCAATATACCTCGCATCAAGATATTGTTGGATCTCATTAATCAATCCCAAAACCATTGTTGTGCGATCATAGCCCTTGTAAATATACTTATGTATATACTTAAAACATCTCACTCTAGCACAAACTTCTACATTTATATGACAGTTGAACCGTTTAGAAAGATATGCATTGTATGGTACCACATCCCTGTTATCAACTTCCTGTCCTCTCACAGTATATACTTGACCACTATTGCGACGACGATAGATTGAATATCCATCTTGGTCCATAGTTGTTGATTCTTCAAAGGCGCGAGGGTATTTCTTAGTACATCTACCATTTTCCATACATAGTACTTGGGGATTTCGAGCACCACGTGGTCTATGTACCATGCAACACTTGACAGTTTCAAAAAGTGTAGAATCATCTTTTGGATCTGGAAATTCTGCACAAACTAATTTGTCTACTTGAGCACATGTTCGAATTTTGTCTGGACCTTTAAGAAAGAGAAGCGCATGCATATGTGGTAGGCCTCGTTTTTGGAATTCAATTGTAAAAACATGTGCAACTTTATTACCGAACATTTTGTTTGTCTCTATCTCCTTCATCAAACACTTTCTTTTTAGCTCAAAAACACGGGCAATCAAATCCGGACAATCAGTAGCTTTTTGGTGTGGTAATAATGCTGAAGTAATTTCTGGCCAATTGGGATTTGCAGTCATGGTGAGAAAAATATCTGGGTGCTGGTTGTATCGTGTGATAGCCATTGAATCTTGAAAGATTTCAAACATATGTCTAGGACTAGCAGTAAATGAAGATGGCAAAATAAACCTTTGACCAATTTGATTAGGTCGCAAGTCATCTGGATCAATATCACTTAAATCTTGGTAAAGTTCAGCCCAAATTTTTTTTTTGATTAAGCTTGTAGTACGTTAACCGATTTTGCTCAGTTGCAGCCCAAGCATCTACCAAAAACTCTTGGAATAGTTTTCCACCTCTCAAAATTGTTGAATGCTTTGTAGGCCGCTCAAATAAACGATAACTATAAAAATCCATTTGAGTAAGTCGATCAGTTAAAGGGCGATCATGTTTAACGTCCCACAATTTCAACTCAGGTTCCCATCCGAGCTCACCATACGGGAATAATAAAACATAATGCAATGACAAATACGCTGGGTGACATTTATTAATTTGCATCAGTTCATTATCTCCCTATAGATGTAAAACAACATCTCTCATTCCAGTAACCTCAGTTCCATCACCTGGTATTACAATTGCAATCTCATCAGCAGTTGGTAGGTTATACCGTCGTCAGTCTGTTGCTGAACTGTAGTGAAGATAAGCAGGTAGATTTTGTCCAGTGAAGGCTAATTGATTCAAAATTGCATGAGCCTGGCGAAATTTGTCTACAAATGCATTAACTTGCAATAAACTATCGTGAATAGTTTTGAGAACATCCCTTTGTAAGTGAGGATTTCTACGATTTCGAACTTCTAAAGCTGAATCAAGATCATAAATGTACAACTGAGCATAAGTCGCATCCTGACCTGGCTGTGGTAGAAGTGATCCTGTTCGATGTCGCAATTCCCCATGGATAATAAATGGTTTAGGACCGCTTTCACTTAATACTCTTGGATCCAATGTAGCACCAAGACTTGTAAAAGCATTGGCTGCATTGTATACATGAGTATAACGTCGAAACAATCTTGCTTGATCATCATCCTCATCATATGATGCTTGAAGCGGTGGAGGGGGTGTCATAAGCAGAGGTAGCCTAGTCTTTCCTTTTAAACAACAAGTTCCAAATAAGGGATACTTTCGAGATGATTGTGCTAATTTTTTGTCCATCCAATGTAAGGCTGAACAATAAGGACATAACACATCCATCTTGCCGAGAGAATGACGACATGAATTCATGTGTGATTGAGTATTAATCGCAGTACTTATAGTCATATCTTCTAATTCATCATCTGTACATAGATCATCTTGAAGAAATGTGACTGTAGAATTAGGCCTACAAATATTTTTTGTGCATAAATTAAAATTTATACACATGTAAAAGTAAGAGTATTATTTAAAGAATTAAACATGTTTTACCAATTCCGAGCTAAAGATATACTTTCCATGGAGAACGAACATGTGGATGCATATGTAACCATTGTTTGTTTCTGTGCCAACGAAGTATCCGCAAGTGTCTTTGTACCCTGTTCTAGGCAAGCATGACTGCGACGACTTGGTGTTAATGAAGGAAAGTCTTTAACATATGCTCCTAATCTCTCTCGTTCTTGTCGCAAGCGTTGTCCTGATTGATATGCAGAGCATGCATTTTCATTTCTTTCACGTTCTCGTCGTGCACGTTAAGCTAATACAGCTCGTGATATAACATAACCATTGGGTCCCTAAAATATGAATATTAAATCATTGGATGCTTAAAATGCAAATATTATCAAGTACCATTTTCCATTGTCCAAAGAAAATACCAAGAATTTAGAGAAAATGTATTATACTTTTGCCCATGACTATTAGTTTTATAATAATAATAATAATAAATTGTGTTGTTTTGTTACACTAATGAACAAATGTTCGACCAACTTATGAGAATAATAAACGTTCGACCAGCAGATTGTGTGGTTTTGTAACAGTGATGAACAAATGTTCGATCAGCAGATGAGTTTCATAAAGTATCTCCATTTCTTGTAGGGCCCATGCACTTACAGGAGACACTATATATTCCTTTCTCACTATATATTCCTTCATAAAGTATCCCTTATATATTTCTTTCTTCCTAAGAATATACAAGAGACACTAAAAAATGTGCATAGTTTCAAAAATAAAATACAATTATGGCTAAATAAAATACAATATATGAAGATATAAAAATAAAAACTAAAAAAACTCTACAAAAATCAATAACAACCATACCGCTAAACATGCATTTTCCTTTCGCTTGCCCTTGCAATCAGTCATCTTTGTCATTTATAATCTATATAATAAATTGTGTGGTTTTGTTATACAAACAAACAAATGTTCGGCCAACTTATGGACTTCATAAAGTATCCCCATTCACATAGTTGGGAAAAAAAAAATTGTTGCCCGTTTTCTCCCTCCTCTCTTTATCTCAAAATTTTTGCCCACTTACATTGAAAAGTGGTGCAGATTTACACATATATACAGGAGACACTTAAAAAAGTACACAGTTTAAAAGATAAAAATACAATTATGGTTTAAAATAAGTAATTGGACATGCATTTTCAAAAACACTCCACAATTATGGCTTAAAATAAACAATTATTTATTGCTTAAAATAAACAATTCGATATACAATTATGGCTTAAAATACAAACATACGAAAACTAACAATTTAAAAAAAAAAAAAAACACTTTACAAAAACCATTAAGAACTATACCGCTGGACATGCATTTTCCTTTCCCTTGCCCTTGGAAGCATAAGACACATTTTCTTTTTCTTTCGACATTGCCTTTGCATTTTCCTTTTCCATTGCCTATAAAAAATAACCAAAGTCTAAGAAATAACCAAAGTATAATAAATAAAAATAAATAAAAAATGATAAGAAAGTGATTTTTGGGCTGACATTAGAAATATGAACAACATTGAAATCATGCTCATCACGAATCACTACACCGACATTTTTTTGTTGAAGAAACTGAACCTATACATACAAAAACAAATACGTAGCTGATATGTACACAAAATGAAATTTTATAAGACGACGAGTAAAGGGAACGAAAATTACACTTCGTTGTAAGTCTCCATCTAGCTGTAAAAAATGAGGAATTTTTTTTTTTTATAATCAGAACCTATAATACAAAAGTTTTTTTTAAATCTATGTACCAGTTTTTTTAAAAAAGACAACTTACATTATCCATAATGTTAGAGGTCGTTCTAGCTTAGTATTGCCAAAACCTGTAATACAAAAGTTGACTTCAGTAAATACATATTAATCCAGTAATACATAATACAAAAGTTAACCTGTAAAGGTTTTGGAATACATAACTTATGTAAATACAAAAGTTATTTTAATTCACCAAGTGAAACCAAACGAAGCAATCAATAGATACTTAAATGGAATCAAACCTATCGATGACTTAAGCTTTGTTGAATTTAATTGAACTAAAAGAGGTTTAAATGGAACTGCAAAATTTATAAAGTTAATTCGTATGACAAACTAATAAAAAATCATCAATCATTTTGAAATCCACAGTTAATTCATATGACAAAATATCTCATTCAAGAAATTAATAAAAAATCACACTGGAAAAAAAAAATCACACATATGACAAACTAATAACCCAACAATCATTTTCCGCCACCAAAATGAGTTGTGTTTCCAAGAATTTATTTATTGAAATTAACAAATAACAAAAGATTTGCAATAAATCCACAGTTTGAAAATAATAATTTAACTCCAAATATTTTCAGGTATTGATAACATAATCTGAATCCAAACAACATCAAAAGAAAGTAGTAATGAATCTCACTATTTTTCTTACAAATTAATAAATATTAAAATTGTCTAAGATGCCACATCATCCCAACTTGGCAAAGGGTGCAAATGAGTAGAAACATGTGTAGTAGTAAAATCAACAAATATATATTGTTGCACCTGAAGTGGACAAACTCAATCTCACAATTTCAAAAGCTATGAAATTATCCTCTGTAATTTAATAAAGTCAAACTCAACCACCCCCAATCTCAATTATCCTCTGAAATTATCCTCTGTAATTTAATAAAGTCAACAATTATCCTCTATTTTTTTCAATAATCAAACACCCAAAAAATCCAAAAACTAGCAAAGTAAGGACCAAAAAAAGTCAAAAAACCGGCATATTTGATTATCAAAGCCTATTGAAAGTTTATTTAGCAAAGTTGAGAGCTCCATCCACTCAACAACTAGTTATAGACAGTAGAGGATAACTTGGAACTTAAAATTATATTTGAAACACATTATCATTATATTTGAGACCCATTATTCGAAACATATTGAACACATTATATTTGAAACATATTCTCATAAAATTAAATCCCACTATATCTCAACACATTTAGATTGTAAATCTATATAAATATAACAAATGGCTAGAAATTTTAGAGGTTGATGCGGCTTAGTATTGTCAAAACCTGTAATACAAAAGTAAACTTAACTAAATAAATATTAAATACATAGCATATTTTAATTCACCAAGTCAAACCGAACGAAACAATCAATAGATACTTAACATATCAATGGCTCCTACATTATCGTTAGGAATCAAACATATCGATGGCTTAAGCTCTACTGAATTGTATTGAGCTCATTCAAGAAATTAATAAAAAATCACGTAGATATGCAGATGCCAAACTAATAACCTACCAATCATTTTTTGCCACCAAATTTTACTAAAATTAAACAATTTATCAAAATGAGTTGTGTTTCCAACGAAAACTATCAATAAAACACATCAAACGCTTAGTACTTTGCTTCCAAGAATCTATTGATTAAAATTAACAAATAACAAAAGTTTTGCACATCTACATAGTTTTAAAATAATAATTTCACTCTAAACATTAAATAAATAAAAAATAAATCTGTCTGTATGAGGACATTTTCAGGGATTGGTAACACAATTTGACTCCAAACAACATCAAAAGAAAAAATTAATGAATGTTACAATTTTTCTTAGCAAAGGGTGCAAATGAGTAGACATATATCTATTAGCAAAGGGTGAAAATATATACTTCTGCACCTAAAGTGGACAAAATGAACCA